CGATGTTGGTAGATGGTTTTGACTTGAAATTCTGTTTTCTAGAAATATACCATTTCTGGCCAAAATTTAAAATTTGCTCCAAAAGAGGTCTATCATTCTGCAGCATTCGTGTGTAATGATTGTAGAAAAATTGAACCTAATCTACAACTTTTAGAGCTTTGAAGTTTAAATTTTAATTTTAAGTTTAATTTTTTTTGATGCTATGAGATTTATAATACAATTTTGTATTTACCGTACATAATGATTTATTGGTAAGGAATTAATATTGGCAATTGGTGGTTCTATGAAGAAATCACCAATATAACATCTGCCATTTTGTTTCAATCTGAGCATGCTCAATGGCACGTGGCATGAAATTGCCAATAAAGAAATTAGCCAATTTCTTTCCACAGGCAAATTCGCTAAATATTACTCCCGCCAATAAATCATCTTGTACAGTATCATTTACATGTATTATTATTATTATTATTATTATTATTATTATTATTATTTTCAGGCATAAACAGAGTAGAAAAAAGAAAAAGAAATCAGACAAAAAATCAAAAAAGGAATCAAAATCAAGGGACCACCGCAAACGAAAGAGAAAAGAGGCCACACCCACCAGCAGCAACTCATCAGATGATGACGATGACACTTACCTTATAAGGAAGAAAGGGAAACACCGTCATCATGACGACTACGAAACAAAAAGAACTAGTAACAAGCGAGGCAGCAAGAGGAGTAGACATGACAGTAGCAGCGATTAAAATTTTAACAAATTTTTTTTGTCAAAGATTTTTGTGATTTAAGAATATAGCCCAAAAATTTTACTCATCATTAATTATTATTATTATTATTCAATCTAAAGGCATAGACAGAGTAGAAAGAAGAAAAAGAAATCAGACAAAAAATCCAAGAAGGAATCAAAGGAACCACTGCAAATGAAAGAGAAAAGAGGCGTACCCACCAGCAGTGACTCACTGCTGGTATCAGATGATTAATAATTCATCAGATTATTAATAATTTCAAAGTCATAGTGCATGAGTCATTCTTTTACAATTATTATTATTCTCATCTCATTAAGGGTTTTAAGGTGTGTACAAGGCGTTGAAAGATTAAAAGAAGCTAAGTCAGTAGTATGAAGAGCTTTGTTTTTATTTTGTTGAATATTGTGGTATAAATAGCATTATATCATGAATGTCAACTTATGAAAAGCAATCTTAACATACCCTGCACTGTTGATAATAATACTGGACCTAATTAATAATGTGACTGTTTTTATTATATACATTTGGTGATTTGAAAGTCAAAGAGTCAAGAGATGTTTGAGCAGGTAACATTGCTCTTGGTGTCAATATTTATATTCTTTCTGTCAGTGGATGGAGTAGGTAAAATATAATACACAAATGTTATAGTTGAATCATTTTAACTTCTTTCTAGTCATTACAGTACCTCCAGTATCAGTAGTAGCTCCCATTTATACTACAGCAACATTCACTTGTGAAGGAACTGGAATTGGAAATGATCAATATCATTGGCTGATAGAACGTGTTGCACTAACTGACTCCACTGCACAACAAAGACAAATAACAGCCGTTACTACCACTGTTAACAATACTAACTTCTCATCAGTGCTGACAATAAATGCACTACCTATTAATGATGGACTGGAAATTAGCAGTTTAGTTACTTCTTTGAATCCGTATCAGATTATATATTTCCATAGTGTACTACTAAATATTAGAGGTCAGCAAATAGGGGTATAACTTTTAGGGACAATTTGTGTTATAGTGTTCTTACAGTGTAATGTATTAATAGGTATATCATCAGTTGAAGATATTCAGTATAATTTTACAATAAACAATTCATTATTTATAACATGGTCGCCTCCTGGTTACTCCTCTGCTGATATTCCTGATGGATCACCTGTCAGTTATCAAGTATTAGTTACTGATGATGAA